TTTTTTTTTTTTTTTTTTTTTTTTTTTTTTTTTTTTTTTTTTTTTTTTTTTACATATTACACTCGTTTGTTTTCATAGTCTCTTTTAATGTTTCTTCTACAATTGTCACCAAAACGCGAATTTAATATATTAAAAGCAGCACTTGCAATGTTTATAATCATATATATATAGTTAATACACCTATGACAGGCGTATGATGGTACATATTGTTAAATGAACTTCAATTTTGAACGTACACTCGTATGTAAATTATTATCGTCGTATCATAAAATATAGATAGTCTGCCACTGTAAGTAAGCGAGTTAACAAAGAAAAATAATGACATTCGTTCCAATCTTGGCAGTCTATGGCAGACTATACTTTCAATGCAGAAGGTTGAATTCTTGATGTTGTTCGTTTCAACTTTACTCGTTCTAAAAGCAGCTATATATCTATAGATTTGCTGGAGCACGTGGAGGTGAAATTGTTCGCGAAAGTTTCAGCAGAATGAAAATTTGATTGGATAATACGCGCTGAATCAATGTTACAGCAAGAACACTCGATCGTAATGATTCCATACATTCGTATGTATCCATCAAGACATTTATTTGAATTGCTACATGCTCGCTATTCTGCTAAGTTCGCTTAAAATCCCGTCGAGAGTAACGCAATGGTCGAAAGATGTAATGGGCATTGACCCTGCACGATCGCGACTGATTCGTAAGGATTTAATCGTAGTGCGTCTGCGAGTTTGTTGGCCGAATGACAAAAACAACGTATGATCCTTGACCATCTAAACAAGTATTTGTAACGATTGTGACACGATCGATCGTTACCAGTGATAGTGTCTTCTTCTACATGTATTGATACAGGTTGTTCATTTGTTTCAAAAGAATCGAAATCGACGTTGACGAATTAAAAATTTATCGACTGGTGTCTTATCGATTGATTGATCAGCGATTAAAATTTAACCACCTGTAGCACTCATATTTTTCACGTTTCACGAATCTGAGCATTCATATTTTTCGTGATACACGTATATTCTAAACTAGTATTCTCAAGTATTTTCGAATTTCTTGGAATTTTTAGCACGTGGTTACATTAAAAAAAAAAAAAACGCGGTCATTGAACGTGTCTAATACATATCTAATTATCAGCACTTTTTATCAATCTAAACAACAAGAGGGGATTTGATAATTTGATTATCACTAATCAATAAAATGTTGTGCTATAATATTGTCCGATAATTAGAAGTGTTTTGTCATATCTCTCAAAAGTAACACGTGTGTTACAAAAGTAGCAATGTATAACACATTCTTTCTATCATTATCGAGTGTAGAAGAAAAGTGAATGTTTCCTCCGGTGAAAAGCAAGAAATTCCAATTAAACGAACTTGAAAAGAGACAGCTGCCTGAATTGGATGCTTCTTCCTTTGTCTATCGATTAGAGCAAGATTTACTCATCTCTCAATAACGTGACAAATAAAGCTAGAACTTATCGTTTGGTTGGCGATGGTGAGATCTAAAAAGAAAGGAAACGCTGCTCCACAATCGAAAAGGAAAGAGCTCTCTGCATTCAAACTCGTTTCAACGGTTCCAAAGTCCTTGCTTCAGATGCGTGTGATTCATAGATATTATCCCGAGAAAAAAGCGTCGCATATTCTAAAATTTTTATCCTTTTTACGTTCGTTTGGCAATAAGAATCATTTATTTATAATTTATACAGGTTACAAATATACACGATGTTAAACAATTTAAGATATAAATATTAATATAAAGAAATGATCTGATCTTTAAGAAAGAAATCATACGATTATCTGTTTATTTACATTGCAATTGCTTACCGGATATTGATACCAAAAACAATTTTCTTTCAATGATATCGAGAAGATAAATTTTAATCGACAAGACTCTTACAAAGAGGAGAAATTTCATTGGTTACTGTATTTTATTGTTTGTAGCATCAGCAGATGATGGCAGATTTAAAGAATCTCGCTTTGGCCGGTGGAGGAGGATCTAGATACAGTGGGGATGAACAAGTACAGTTCATTCCAGGTGGAAGTCATCAGGTGACCATTAAATCTCCTCCACCTTCGTTGCATTTAGAAAATCTCAACAATGCTGTTCTCAGGTATAATACATAATTGTTAATCAATAATACTCGAAGAAAATTTTTTGAAATGATTTGAATACCGAGCGACTTTGATTTTAATATATGTAACAAGGAGTTCATATGTCGGAAGAGATAAAGCAAGACTCACTTTAAACTCTATCGATTTTTGTAGTTTTGTACAAACTTCTCTTAAAAATAAAAACTGAATGGACTTTAGCGATTGAATTTTTTGTTAACTTTGGGTCGATATTTTCTTCATAATTAAACGTAAATAAGACAAAATAATATATTCGGTGTCTAGTATTTGCATACTAAATTGCATGCAAAGTTTTTTACAAAAAAAGATTGAATAACATAATGATAAAGATAGCTTTTTTCACTGGACAACTTCTTGATATATCACGTTTCAAAAATATCTTTCTAAGCAGTTTATAATACTGATTATCATATTATATTTTCTGCTCACGAATTATCTAAATATCGCATCATTTTACTAGACTTGAGAAGACCAGTCGTCTGCACTTTTATTAAAAATTCAATGATACAAAGCATACTTACGTATAAACATTTATATATACATACATATATCTGATCCCTTTTAGATATTCTTGTATTCTAATTATATGCAATGCTTCTAGTTTTATTTTCGATCAATTATGTACCTGAATAACTATTTTTAAATATCTAAAATACCGAATAATAGGAAAAGAGCAATCGCAAAGTTTAGGAAATTTTTATGTTTCTAGTATCGCGACTCTTATCTCTTACTTTTCCATTCATATACCAAGTATTGTGTTAGATGTATGTATCATACTGACAATGCATAAGAAAAACCGCGGTCATCGAGTGAACATCGAACACGCGAACTAATATATCCCAAATACGACTAAAACGGATCTCAAGGTCTGCCCATTGATCGCGTTAAGACTTTCACAAAGATTCCCTCTATTGAATACAATTTGCCCCTTTCAAAAGTAAAATTGTTCGATGCTTTTAAACTAAGGTTAGATATTTATTGTTAGATCATATAGGAAAAGTATTGGAGCGTTTAATTTTTTCAGGTGGTCCCTTGCAAAAATATACATTACATTCGAATTTAACGATGCAAAGTAAATGTCAGAAAAAAAAAAAAAAAGAAAGAAAAATGAGCAAAATCCGATTCTCGGCAATTATATTTAATATAAATACTATATTCATGATCACGCGAGATCGCTTGTTTGGCAAAATTTAATTGATTATCCCTTCGATAACTGTGCATACGATCGTGATATCGATTGTACCCTATTTTTGCTGAAACCGTAAAAACTACAACTAAGTGACAGATTAAATTACAAACACGAAGAACATTGTATGCTTGGCTCGCATAACTTCTAAAATTCATTTTACACCAATGCAGGCCATGCTCACAGACACAGGATAAAAGACCTACTTATACTTTAACATTATCTAATATTCAAAACGCGAAGAAGAATATAAGAGAAAAGAAAGTACAGATCCAACAATTCTTAAGCCACAACTAGAATTTTGATAGTTTGACTCCGATACTTGCTTTCGTGAGATATTTCAACTGAACAATTACTTGCAGCATTTGAAGTGTTTGGAATATTTGGAATGTTCAAAGTGAAAGTAAAAGCATCCTTTACAAAAACCATAATGTTTTCTTGTTTGTATTCCAGTGGTTCGCAAAACAATCTTCACTGCAATTGCAATGGCAGTACGTCCAATGGTACCGCAGTTGCAATGTGTAGCAGTAGTATGTTCGCGAGGAAGGTACCAAACCATAGTCCAGGACAAGATGGCAAAAGGCCGGCAGTAACATTAACGCATTTACCGAAGAGGCCACCGGTTGACATTGAGTTCAAGAACCTAGCGTACAGCGTGTCCGAAGGCAGGAAGAGAGGTTGGTCTTCGAAAGAACGACACGTTTTGCGAAAACTTAACTAACAAGAACAATATCTATATTTGTACATGAAAACACATTCGGTAGGCATTTTATTCAACAATATGTTCAACAACGACCTAGCTGAAATAATCGATAGAGATGTATAGGTTGTTTCATTTCCTGTTTCGGTCCAGATGCACCACAGAGGTGCAACTGTACTCGCTTATAAAGAGGTCACAGTCAGCGAATCTGGACTCGTAAAATCCGCACTTTAATGAAACTCCTGTACATTAGCTTCTCCAATATTGTGAATTTGGCAAGATCGGACTTCATGCGAAGCATTAAATAAACTGCAAAACAAATGGGGAAAAAATAGGAAAACACGAGAAACTAAAGAAGCGAGGAAAGGAGACAAGTCTTATGATATCTTATGTTTTATATTGCAGGTTACAAAACAATTTTAAAATGCGTAAACGGCAAATTCCGATCAGGAGAATTGACCGCTATCATGGGCCCTTCAGGTGCTGGGAAAAGTACATTGATGAATGTCTTGGCAGGTTACAAGTAAGTTATGTTTTTAAATAAGTTAAATAATAATTGTTTAATTACAATTATAATAATATTAACATTTTAATTATGATAATATTTATAAAATTGTATGTTCATCAATAATTATAAAAATATTATAATTATTGATAAACATACTTATAATTTAATTAATAATTTAAATTTTTAAATAAAAATGAAAATATTACAGTACTTTATACTTTTTAGAACATCTCACCTGAGCGGTTCCGTTTTGATAAACGGGAAGGACAGGAATCTGAGAAGATTTCGAAAGATGTCCTGTTACATAATGCAAGATGATCGTCTTTTACCTCATTTAACAGTCTATGAAGCAATGACAGTTTCGGCCAATTTGAAATTGGGAAAAGACATCAGCACAAGGGAAAAGAGAGAAGTGGTACGTGAAAAAAAAGCAAAACTTTCGAAACAAATGAAACGCAGATGCAGCAGAAGCATTTGAAATAATAATTTGAATAAAATACTTGACGCAGATCGAAGAAATCATCGAAACCCTCGGCCTAAGCGACGCGAGCAATACACAAACTCATTGTCTCAGCGGAGGACAGAGAAAGAGGCTATCGATCGCTTTAGAGCTTGTTAACAATCCTCCGGTGATGTTTTTCGATGAACCAACTTCTGGCTTGGACAGTTCGACTTGTTATCAATGTTTAAGTTTGCTCAAATCATTAAGTAGGGGAGGTAATTGTGACAAATGTCTCCGATAAAATATTTAATAATGCTCAGTATTCGATAAATGTGTCTTATTTCTGCGACGTTTTAGGAAGAACAATTATATGTACGATACATCAACCAAGCGCTCGATTGTTCGAGATGTTCGATAATTTGTACCTTTTGGCCGAGGGCCAATGTATATATCAAGGAAACGTTGGAGGTCTGGTGCCCTTTTTATCATCAATGGGCTTGGAATGCCCTAGCTATCATAATCCAGCGGATTACGGTAAGTGTAATTGTTAAATTAAAGTCCTAAATTTCAAATTTCATTGAAAGAGAAAGAAAAAACAATTTCGTTTAGTTATGGAAGTGGCATGTGGAGAACATGGAGAATGTGTGCATAAATTAGTCATGGCAGTAAATAATGGTAAATGTGCTAATTACCAGCACCATCAAGCTACGATAAATGCAGTGCAAACTGTATCGAATGATATCGCGAAAGAATCGCCTCAACAAGAAACGAAGTCTGAATCTGCTTTAATACCAAACGGTGTGGCAAAACAACCGAATGGTGGGACGGTAATCAACATACCAATTTCTTGTACGACATCTTTATTGGACAGTGCGGAAAGTATAGAACAGAAAGTTGGCTTTCCAACGAATAGTTGTACACAATTTTGGATCCTTCTTAAAAGAATATTCTTGTCGCAAATAAGAGATATGGTTAGTATATTTGAACATAATCTTATTCAATAATAACATTTCATTATATCTATAACATCATATTTTATTATTTTATCATAGACATTAACGAGAGTAAGGCTGATTTCCCATATAATCGTTGGGTTCCTTATCGGTGCAATTTATTACGATATCGGTAATGAAGCCTCGCAAGTAATGAGCAATGCTGGCTGCGTTTTCTTTACGGTGATGTTTCTCATGTTCACCGCTATGATGCCTACGATTCTTACGTGTAAGTGAACCACAATAAATAATTAAAGCTTGCTCTCCTATATGTACTAACAACATTTTGATATAGTTCCGACAGAAATGGCTGTATTCGTGAGAGAACATTTAAATTACTGGTATTCTGTAAAATCTTATTATCTTGCGAGAACTTTAGCCGACGTACCCTTTCAAGTAAGTATAAAGCTTCTAATATAAGCACGTTTCCAATGAATACTTATTTCAATTAACACGTTCGTGTATTTTATTGCAGATAGTATATTCTATAGCATACGTCATTATTGTATATTTCATGACGTCGCAACCATTGGAAACAAATAGATTCATGATGTATTTAACTATATGTATATTAACAGCGCTAGTTTCCCAATCCATCGGTTTAGTAATAGGATCAGCGATGAGTGTGGAGGTACTGTTTCATTTGCATGAAACTTGTTTTACGTTATTTGTTGTCATTTTCCGAGCCTTAATAAAACAGCAAATTTTGTTTTTCTTTCAGAGCGGAGTATTTATTGGCCCTGTAGCGTCAGTGCCAATTGTTCTGTTCTCCGGTTTCTTCGTCAATTTTGATGCCATTCCAAAGTATCTGAAGTTTCTTTCGTACGTGAGTTACGTCAGATACAGTTTCGAAGGCGCCATGATTTCAGTATATGGTTATGATCGTGCTAAGCTCAAGTGTTCCGACGCGTACTGCCACTTCAAGAGCCCGACGAAGTTCCTCGAAGAAATGTCGATGCAAAACGCCGTCTTCTGGTTAGATGCCGTTGCGTTGGCAGGTTTTTTGCTTACCTTGAGGGTGATCGCCTACTTTGTACTGAGACTGAAGTTACGATCTCTTCGTTAAAACACACAGTGGCCGAATATAATCAATAATCGTCTTACGAATATTAGTTTCACCTCAATCTCACTGAAACATTTGATCAACGAGTCTTCTCCAGAAATCCACCATTACGATTCTAAATTTCAATGTTTTTTTCGCTGAAAATTGAAATTCTCAGACATTTCTGCATCAGAATTACAAACCCGCGTGAAAAAGGCGCAATGGAATATTCTCATTTTCCTTTGCCATCAGCTGTTAACACTCTACTTTCCACTTGCCCGAGCTCATCGTCTCATTTATACTCTCGTATTGTGAATAACAAACTCGCCTTTAGAACGCTCTATTGTAGAGAGTGCACAGTGCTTCGTTACTTCGAATTTTTTCAAAAATATCGAGGATTACGAAGGAGCCTGCATTCTCGATAACGCGTTCTCGATATCAATTGCAATTAATGTAATTTCCGCCATGTAAATATAGATTGTAAAAATTGGGGAAAACATTCAACATTTATATTTCACGCAGACACGAAAGATATGTATGTTGAATGTTATTCTGTATGATATCAAACGAGATGACTTTAGTAGATACAAACGAATGATAACACATAGAGGCCGACAGTTTAAGCATTTTTAATAAACTAGTGTGCGCAAGAATTACATTGGAATTGTAAATCATCGATAATAATCCAAAAAGAGAGACCATCGTTGGTACTACGCATTCTCAATCGAAGTGCAAACATTTATAGCCAATTATTACAAACTCGCCAGGAGCCTTAGGCTCATTCAAGACTCATGGTCCCTCCAACAAGCGCCACGTGTGCACTGCGCGACAACATAGACTTTTTTTGATAGATAAGCAATAGAATTTATAAATCACAAAAATTAGGACGAATCCTTTATTGTTCTCATGTTTACATCGATCGCTACATTCACTTACGATTAGTCTATGCGAGAGGTATCTTGAAGATATACTAGCGATCATAAACGATAATTGTTTAACACTATCGGACAAAAAAAAATTTTAGCCGAAAACTCAAGTACCAAAAATTACATATGTATGTCCGATATTTACGTATATCGGTGAGATACTTAAATACATATTTGTACTAAATGATTTCTTACAAGATCGCGAGCAATTCTTAACCATATTGTCATTCCATATATAGATAATTCAATAATTATAACATTTAAGCGATCAAGAAAAATGATGAAACATTATATTGTAAAAAGCTCACACCTGACCAATCACTAGCTGCCTGTGCGTTTGCTTCTAAGTCTGGAGTGCTGAACATTGTTACATTTACTACGTTGTTTAATTAGGAAGGTAAAAAGGGTATATTATTTAAAAAAAAAAAAAAGAAAAAGCGAAAGAAAGAAAAGAAAAAAGTTAGAAAAACGAAGAAAGCAAATTAGGCATGGGAGTGTAACAAATTTAACAAGATTATTCTGGTTTTGGAAACTTTTACAGGAATTTTTTTTACGGCCTATGCATTGTTCTTATCATTAGGTTCGTTTATCCGATAACTGAGAAAATAAAAAACGGAAAGAAAAAAGATTCATAGACTTCTCCTTTGACTCCTTTGACTTGAATTAGATATCATGTAGCGTTTCGTAATATGTAATGATATAATACGTATTCGTAATATGTAAACACACGTTATTTTGAGGACAGAATAATCTTAGTCTTTTATAGTTATTTGATATTGTTACACTTAAGTTTAAGTTTTCCAATTTTGGACAGAAATCATGTAGATTAAAATATTATCATATAAATATTTTTATATTTCAATATCAGATATAAATCTAACTTATTGTTAGTACTTTTCGTTTAAAGAAAATTATTATCTACTTTATCTTGATGGTAGAGGTGAATTATATTCAACTTGTATTCCAATATATATTCAGTATCTTTAATGTAATTGCAACGTAATTTTGACAGTACTTATTACAGGCATTCTAAATGCTTACAGTTTCTCAGAAAATCATACCTTTACTCTTAATCAACTTATTTTAAATATAACAAAATATTAATTTGTTTCTTCTTATTCGAGTTTAAGAATTAGTTCGATCACAAATTGTGTGAAATTGTTATCAAACGATGATGTTATACCAGTAAATAATTTATGCTTTGCATATAACTGATACATCGTATAAAAAAATAATTTATGAATCATGGAATGAGAGTAGAGAAAGCAATAGGCCAAAAATTTCCATATTTTTAGATTCGCTGTCATTTATATTTTTACTTATTATTATATATAAAAAAATTAACCAAATATATGTAATCAAGAAACAACGACGCACTACAGTATACATAACATACGTGCGAATATTTTATCCTTGTTTCATTTTTACCATTGTAAAGTAAACTTTTACCGTAAACAAATGTTTAAAATCGACATTAACATAAATTACTTTTATTTCATTCTGAATGTGTTCTAGTAATGATAACTTGGAATGTCTGTGATTCAGTATCGGCAAATAATTGTTTAACGTTCAAAAATAAAGCTTTATGAAATGTACATATAAAATAGTATAACATAAGGACGTGAGGTAATAGGAAACTGAAATTGAATCGGTACAATCAGAATGTAACAGTTTGTTCCCATTTTGAAAATGAATGAAATATCTGTTTAAATCTTGGTTCGTATCTATAACATAACGAAAGTGAGATGTACAAAATTTGAAATAAAGTAACTGTTCAAGTGCTGTATAGTCAACTCTATATGTATTCTTAATAATTTTGTTTATAAAAATAATACATAGAAATATATTTACTTATATTGAGCCAAGGTTTAAACATATGTAACATTGGTATGGTCAATCGAAACAATAGATTTCACATTCACATACATTGCATTCTTAGTTTATTGTTTTTTTTAATTTCTTACTAATCTTTAATTATTCTTTCTACGCATAATGCTGCATAATTCATAATTAAATGAATTATTAACAAATGAATAATCGGTAAAATGTCAGATTTAATCATACATGAATCCGCGGATATTGTGTTCAAGGCTCGCGAGAACTGAGACTGTAATAACGAACAAGCAAATTTTTAATTGCACGTGACCATCTTGCGAGCAGAATAAATTTGAATAGCATAATATTATGTCTGCATATACATATAGGTACGCGGCATAGAAAAATTCCGATTAAGACGTTATCGCTTTCAGGACACATACTTCACATGTACAATGTACAATGAACGTATATTGTCCGACCATGTATCGCATACAATTCATGACACTTTTTTCAAATATTGTAATTTTATATAACCAAAAAGGTATACGTGTGTAAGGCTGTGCGTTTGTGTGTGTAAACATCGAAAACAAATAAAGATGAGTATGTAAAAAGGAGAAAAAGCTTTAACAAATTATATGTACACGCGGGAAGAAGGATATCAATACAAATCTTTGCGAAACAAAGTTTCCAATCTACTATTCCATGTTCTAAGCAAGGAATGACATGTTTATACTAAAGCACAAATGAATAAAAACATCTGTATGATATGTAAAAACACAACGATGTTGACTTTTATTCGAAATTTGATTGTATTCGACATTGATAACTGATTTAGCTAGCGTGCTTGAAACATAGAATTCGAAATTGTAACTGAAAGATTTCGTCGAAAGCACGTGGTGTATAAGGCGACCAATCTAATGCAAGTTATTTTAAGCTTTTAGCAATGCTGCCAAAGTAAAACCTCTTAAATTTTCCATTTCTTACAATATAAGATTAAAATGTTGTAAAATAAAATTAATTATTTTGATACGGCATGTCAAAATCTATAACATTATCTTTTTTTAAGACTATAAGATTTATTCTATTGTTTCTTTTTTTACTATGCAACAAGCATTTCAAATATTCTTCAACATGTATATTTTTTAATTCTATTTCTAGAAATTGTGTAATTAAGTTGGTAGGACGGTGAGTGTAGTTTATGGAATTCATTGCAAAAGTATCGCAATTGTGCAATAAAGCATTGGAATTTCAAAAAACTTGTCAACTATAAAGCATGGAGAAACCTATAGTTCGTGCAAGGGTAGTAAAGGTCCTCGGTAGAACGGGTTCCCAAGGACAATGTACACAAGTTAAAGTGGAGTTTTTGAACGAACAAAATAGGCAGTTAATCCGAAACGTGAAGGGTCCCGTACGAGAAGGAGACATTCTAACGCTTTTAGAATCTGAAAGAGAAGCTAGACGGCTTCGTTAATGTATTTGACGATTGAAGTTCCTTCTCGAAAATTAAACAAAAGACCTTCAGGTATTCATATACATACTCCCCTCTCCTTAATGTTCTTGATATATTTAACAGGAATCTTAAGCAACGTTTGGAAATTTTATTTAAATTATTAAAGTCATATCGCAAAAAGTAAACTGTAATAAACTAAATATTCATTTTTCAGGTATTCTGAACAGAAGCTTATTGATATATTTGTCATAAAACTGTATCTATAAAACTATATACCATCGAGTATTTTTTTCTATATTTCAACACAAAACTATTCATGCATATTCATGCATTATTCATTCATTTATGAAAACGATATGTAAGTATTATTACTGTATGAGTGTAACCGAAACATTAAAAAAATTAAAAAAATAAGCTGTGTTTATTATTACATTTTACAGTCATTAATATAATTTATATTTTTACCTATAATGTACTGTACTCTTATTTTATCCTGTATAGAAATATATAAAAAAAGAAAACAAATTATATACCAAGAAATATTTCTGAGAACAACAACTTTTTTGTATCTTCTTTTTTTTCTAGTAACGGTAATATTTACTTAAAGTATTTATAGACGTATTTCAACCAATGAAAAGAAGAAATTTTCTCTAAAGGCGGGAAGAATTATTTCGTCAACTTGATATAGATTATAGATGTGATTATGTGACGAATAAAATAAAAATATATTTTAATATTAATTATATTTAATTCTTATTAAAGTTTAATTATATTTAATTCTTATTAAAGTGATTACTCGACGTAAATTGTAATAAACGTAGAAACCTGAACTTCCGGTGGCAGCACTATCAGTGCACGTAGTCAACTGTTTGGATTTGCAATTTCAGTTTAGCTTGAACTGTCGCGGAAGAAGGTTGTTTGGATCTTGTTCAATTTCTTACGTCCCTTCGGGACTGAGTTGATAATTGTATAAATTCGTTATTTCCAAAATTTCTTATTTCTTTTTATTTAATTTTAATTCATAGTGTTATGTTCAAGCTAGGCTCCGTGCAATTGTTCGGTTGAATATGTTAGTATACACCTTAGCTAGCTCGCGTTTTCGCGTTTCCGCGTTGTGCAGTTTGGTTTCATTGTGTCTCTCGGACGATCGTAAGTCCCCTTTGTGTATTTTCCTTCCATCTATCGTACGTCTGTAAGGTGAAAAATTATATACTTCATGAAAGTAATGCGAAACGGAAGTGGCCGCCATTTTCTCTGTTTTTTGACGTAGTCAAATCAGGTCTTTTGCAGTTATTTCTGTAGCATTACAATCACGAATATATAATTTGTGCTGCGTTGGATAATAATCGAATTCTCTGAAATTCGAGGATTACCATAACGTGCACCACTGTTACATGACCCGTTTTACACGGTGATTTGGCAGACGTATCCTGTCGTTCCTCGACAGCCTGCTTTAATACGATTCTTAGGAATCGGGCTCGAGGAGATCACACGTGCAAAATCGGTAATCCATTAGGGATCTTTGCGATTGTAGATGAGTATAAGTAGAGAAACGCAGAATCTTTGCAACGCAAAGAAGCGTAGTTTCTTGGCTGTGTCTCGTCTGCAAAAATCGCGTGTAAATAGGATAACAATGTAATTAATGTTGTTACTCTATTTACAATTGTACCTTATCCCTTGTCCTTGTGACGACGAATTGGACGAGATGGGCAATGTAACCAAATTAGCACTGCTCCTATAATGTGGAGTTTTGATGTAGTTTCGCCTCGTTTACCGTCCACATGGTCTGCTTCTTTCATTAAGAAGTGCGCCATCGAATAACATGTTAATTGTACAATTGCACATGGGGACTAATTTTAGTTTCTTAGCTAGGGAAAGTAGGGATTAGCTCCGACTTTTTAGATTTAGATAGGGTTTAGAATAAGTTAGTTCAAAAAGAGATAGAGGAAGACTAGCGCCTCTAACTCTTTTCCGGGCAGGTCATTTTTTGTGCATCTATTTCAATTGAAGTAGATGATTAATATACTGCGATGATGTCTTCCGCAGTTGTAGAATTTTGCAAAGGAGGGTGGACGGGCCGTTGGGATAGGGCGAGTCACCATTTGCAGCAACCTCCTCGTGGTGTGACTTGGGAAATTTGTGTTACTATGTTGGCGATGCAAATTTGCTAATGGCTGTAATATTTTTTGAATTTTTTGCGATGATGTAAAATAAAATGTTATTAAAAATAATCATTTATGCTGTTTAAGTCTTTTTTCCTTTTAGCCTTGAATTGTTAATTATCTGTTCCAATTTTGTGATATATAAAATATTCATGTAATTGTTGTAATTGGAAGAAATAATTGGAATTTCTGTTGAAATAATAATATTAAATTTTAGTGTCACTGAATGAATTCGCATTTTATATTAAATTGTTGAATTTCTTAAACAAAATGTAATAATTATAGATATTTATAATATACATATATCAAAGAATAAATGTAAAATAAATAAGTGTTTCAGATGTAAAGTATAATCACTTAATGTAACAAGTTCTGGAAAAGAAAAATTTATATATCCTGTCCTTTCTTTGGGTTGATATATAATACAAATTGGATTTTAGAATAGAAATACTGCCTAAATATTTAGATTAGATCATTATTACAATACACAATTAAGACAAACCATTTATCAAATATACATACCAGAATGTAACATACATATTGGTATGTAGTAGGTATATTGGTACATTGAATTTTCCTGTTTTCTATAACTTAACAAATGAAGATATACGTATCTATGTAGGAAAGAAAAAACAAGAAAATACGAAATTTAATATTTTTAGAAAACTAACTTTGTAACATTATATATTGGATTACAAATGCTCGCATAGCAAAATTTCTGATATATTTCCTGTTTTAAATAAAAAGTGACATATTTATATAAAATACAAATTAATAGCAGGAGCATGTAATATAATCATGTCCATACGTAAGACAGTTGACAACCAACACCAATAGATACGCCGTTACGCATGTACAACTATGTATAAACAGAATACAATGTAAAATGGTATCGATAATTTTTTGTGAATATCTCAAAAAGTATGTCCATAAATTATATGTAAAAAATAGTTATTTAGAATGATACCTTTGATAATATGTTAAAAGATAATTGAAATTATTTTATATTGATATATTAAAAATTATATTGATATATTAAAAACTAACTAAATAGAAATGTAAAAAAAAAAACATCAAATTATATTTGAAAATTCTGTAAAAATTTCTCAGAATAGAAATTATTTATATTTTCATCCTTTTTGTTTTGTTTTCTGTTTTTTTTTGTTTTAATTTAACAAAATCCTATCCAACTTACTATCTGTAAATGTCGCGTTCGTCAACCAATGAAACGAAATTTTCTCTAATGGCGGGAACAATTATTTCGTCATTTCAACTAGATGTAGATTATAAATATGATTATGTAACGAATAAAATAAAAATATATTTTAATATTAATTATATTTAATTCTTATTAAAGTTTAATTATATTTAATTCTTATTAAAGTGATTACTCGACGTAAATTGTAATAAACGTAGAAACCTGAACTTCCGGTGGCAGCACTATCAGTGCACGTAGTCAACTGTTTGGATTTGCAATTTCAGTTTAGCTTGAACTGCCGCGGAAGAAGGTTGTTTGGATCTTGTTCAATTTCTTACGTCCCTTCGGGACTGAGTTGATAATTGTATAAATTCGTTATTTCCAAAATTTCTTATTTCTTTTTATTTAATTTTAATTCATAGTGTTATGTTCAAGCTAGGCTCCGTGCAATTGTTCGGTTGAATATGTTAGTATACACCTTAGCTAGCTCGCGTTTTCGCGTTTCCGCGTTGTGCAGTTTGGTTTCATTGTGTCTCTCGGACGATCGTAAGTCCCCTTTGTGTATTTTCCTTCCATCTATCGTACGTCTGTAAGGTGAAAAATTATATACTTCATGAAAGTAATGCGAAACGGAAGTGGCCGCCATTTTCTCTGTTTTTTGACGTAGTCAAATCAGGTCTTTTGCAGTTATTTCTGTAGCATTACAATCACGAATATATAATTTGTGCTGCGTTGGATAATAATCGAATTCTCTGAAATTCGAGGATTACCATAACGTGCACCACTGTTACATGACCCGTTTTACACGGTGATTTGGCAGACGTATCCTGTCGTTCCTCGACAGCCTGCTTTAATACGATTCTTAGGAATCGGGCTCGAGGAGATCACACGTGCAAAATCGGTAATCCATTAGGGATCTTTGCGATTGTAGATGAGTATAAGTAGAGAAACGCAGAATCTTTGCAACGCAAAGAAGCGTAGTTTCTTGGCTGTGTCTCGTCTGCAAAAATCGCGTGTAAATAGGATAACAATGTAATTAATGTTGTTACTCTATTTACAATTGTACCTTATCCCTTGTCCTTGTGACGACGAATTGGACGAGATGGGCAATGTAACCAAATTAGCACTGCTCCTATAATGTGGAGTTTTGATGTAGTTTCGCCTCGTTTACCGTCCACATGGTCTGCTTCTTTCATTAAGAAGTGCGCCATCGAATAACATGTTAATTGTACAATTGCACATGGGGACTAATTTTAGTTTCTTAGCTAGGGAAAGTAGGGATTAGCTCCGACTTTTTAGATTTAGATAGGGTTTAGAATAAGTTAGTTCAAAAAGAGATAGAGGAAGACTAGCGCCTCTAACTCTTTTCCGGGCAGGTCATTTTTTGTGCATCTATTTCAATTGAAGTAGATGATTAATATACTGCGATGATGTCTTCCGCAGTTGTAGAATTTTGCAAAGGAGGGTGGACGGGCCGTTGGGATAGGGCGAGTCACCATTTGCAGCAACCTCCTCGTGGTGTGACTTGGGAAATTTGTGTTACTATGTTGGCGATGCAAATTTGCTAATGGCTGCAATATTTTTCCAACTTTTTGTATTTGTGATTATATGAAGTAAAATAAGAATATTAAGAATAAACATTTATGATTGTTTCATGTTACCCTTGAATTGTCTCTTCCAATTTTATGTGTACAAGAGTGCTTGAATGATGTAGTATAATTGAATTTAATAATGAAAGTCTCTGTACCACATGCCGTATCAGTCGATAATCGACTGTACGTATAGCAGTATTAGAATAGCATTATTTTGAATAGTTAAGTGTGTAGTCCGCCATATTCGTTTGTAATTTCAATGATATACAATGATGAAATGAATTTTGTGCATAAAAGTATTTTTAGTATACACGTACGTAGTTGGTGAATGCTACAGAGATTTAGAAAGAGATAGATTTTTAGAATTATCAATGTTTATTTCATAATCTTATTAATAATAAATTTGTTGATTGGAGATGTGTTGATCTAAAATTGAGATGTTGTTCATGGGCAACCATTAAA